TAAAAAAGCTAAAAAACGCCAAAAAAAAACCAACCCCAAACGCGGCCCCGGCTGTGACTGAGCGCGCCAGGGGGGGATCCCAGTGACGTCATACACGCCGTGACGTCACTCCTCAGCCTCGTCCCGATGACGTCACTTTTTTATTTTAAAATTTAAAAAAAAAAATTCCGCGGCTCCGGCCGTAAAGCGCGCACCAAAATTAATTAAAAAAAACCTGAAAAACGCCAAAAAAAAAACCCCAAACGCGGCCCCCGCTGTGACTGAGCGCGCGAAGGGGGGGGGACCCCGTGACGTCATACGCGCCGTGACGTCACTCCGCAGCCCCGTCCCGGTGACGTCACTTTTTAATTTTTTTTTAATTTTTTTTTTTTAAATTCCGCGGCTCCGGCCGTAAAGCGCGCGGGAGGGCGGGAAGCGCCTGTCGCAAAAGCGCGGCGCGTTGCCATGGCGACCGGCGCGCCTGGCGGCGTTACCATGGGAACCGCCCCGGAGACCCCGAAACCGCCCCAAAATCACCTCGGGGACCCCCAAAATCCACACTGAGACTCCAAAATCCTCTCAGGGACCCCAAAATTACCTCAGGCATCCCCAAAATCCCCTCAGGGAACCCAAAATCACCTCGGGGACCCCCAAAATCTACCCTGAGACCCCCAAAATCACCTCGGGGACCCCTAAAATCCACACTGAGACCCAAAAATCCCCTCTGGGACCCCCAAAATCCCCTCAGGGATCCCAAAATCACCTCAAGGATCCCAAAATCCCCTCAGGAACCCCAAAATCCCCTCAGGGACCCCCAAAATCACCTGAGGGACCCCAAAATCCACTCAGGGACCCCCAAAATCCCCTCAGGGATCCCAAAATCACCTCAAGGATCCCAAAATCCCCTCAGGAACCCCAAAATCCCCTCAGGGACCCCAAAATCCCCTCAGGGACCCCCAAAATCACCTGAGGGACCCCAAAATCCACTCAGGGACCCCCAAAATCCACCCTGAGACCCCAAAATCCCCTCAGGGACCCTCAAAATCACCTGAGGGACCCCCAAAATCCCCTCGGGGACCCCAAAATCCACTCTGAGACCCCAAAATCCACCCTGAGACCCCAAAATCCCCTCAGGGACCCTCAAAATCCCCTCAGGGATCCCAAAATCACCTCAAGGATCCCAAAATCCCCTCAGGAACCCCAAAATCCCCTCAGGGACCCCAAAATCCCCCCGGGTCCCCCTCAGACGGGGCCGCGCCGTAAAGCGCCGCCGCGTTACCACGGTTACCCCCGCGCGGCGCGGCACTGCCGCGCAGAGCGCGCCGTCGCCATGACGACCCCCCCCTCAGGGGGACCCGTAAAGCGAGGCGGCGCGAAGGGCGGCGTTGCCACGGCGACGAGCCTGCCGCGAGGGCGGCGCCGTCAGGCGCGGCCGGCGTTGCCGGGAGACGGGCGCAAAGCGCGCGGGGCGTTGCGGCAGTGTCGCGTTGCGCGCAGTCATGGCGGTGCCGAACGGGGCCGGGGCCGCGG